AGGTGTCACACATTACAAAGTTAAAAACTAACAGAACAGTGGAAGGGTTGCTTGGGGGTTTAAAAATGCAAGATCTTAATTACTTGTAGTACTTTAAAAGACCCCTTAAAAACATAATTTAAAACAGTTCTACAAGTTAGCCCACTAAGAAGCAGCGTCTTCATTAGTAGCACCTGTTCTTAAATAAAAGTTGAGCAGTAGCAGCAAAACTATTCAAAATAGATAGTTATTCCATTCTAATGGAACGTCACCTACACATTTTTTGTTGCGGTAGACATCTTAAAGAACTACACAAAACCTTTGCAATCTTTGAATGTGACAGATCCACTATAACAAAGCTGTAAATATTTCTTACGCTAAATGAATGCAGCCAGCATCATCATAGTATTAGCAATATTATTTTTAAAGTAACTGCACATCAATATGTCATGTGTTTGTAGAGTCTAATAAGTATGCAAATTTTCAAAACATGTAAAGTTATCAGCACCATCCTGTATTAAAGATGTGGTGCAAATTCTGCAAAGGTGAATATATACCACTGATACAGCATTTGCTATGAAAAATTCAGTCAATTTTGGACACAAATATAAATAAAAAAAAAGAAGTTGGCACATTCAGGAATTAAAGTGTCTGTGTTCAAGACTGTTGTTTCAACATTGCCCTCAGATAAATGCTTTGAGTCTGAAGAAGCAAGTTGTATGAAAACATTTCACATTAGTTAGGTTCTGGTGTTGTGCTTTTCCCCCACTACATGATTTCCATAGGCTCATGCACTTTGCAGATCAGCAGTGTTCAACAACTTTTGTGCTGCTGGTCAATCATTTGGCACGTAAAGGTAAATATCAGCTCTAAACAAAGAGAGCAGAACCTCTGTGAAGATTTGTTTCCTTTGTGGTGGTACAGACCAGCTGATATGTCTCCTCTCATTCCTTGTATGCCCGTGTGGGGGATGTGCCTTTATAGAAGATGTTTCTGGTGTTCTCTGGACTGCTCCCTCGTTCAGGGATTAAAATGATGTTACCTTTTCTTCGAAGTGTTGAGTCCCTGCTAGAAGAAATGGACAGGGTCTCTGAGCCAATCTCACTTCCTTCCACTGGTGTGACTCTTATTGTAGTGATACCATGATGGTGATGCTCGGTGTTATCTATATTGCTCCTTTTCCTGTCACCTGACCCATAACTGTCTTTTAAGGAGTCACAACTCTCAGAGTCTCTGTTGAGATCATTTAACTCATATGTCTGACGAAGGGTGACTTTTTCGGGTCCTTTCCATTTCCATGATCCACTCCCTTCACCTTCTGATGGCATCTGAATTACAGGTCTGTTATTTTCTGGATGGGCCTCAACTCTGACAATGCTGCTTGGCTCATGGTCTGTCAAGGTTTTGTATCTGATGGCTCCTGTACAAGTGACTGTGCTTCCCTCTGAACTCTTTGGACTGCCCTGAAGCACTCCTTGCTGCTTAGACATGGCTATTACTTGCATGATTCTTGGCTGGCTGTTGCTTCTACATGCGACGCTCTTCTCAGCAGCTTTCAGCCATTTAGCTCTAGCTGAACTACTTTTGGGTGATGTGTTCACGTTCTCTTGAGTCTCTTCAGGAATATGTACTAACTGGGAAGAGCCAGGACGTGACTGAATAGAGACCCTTGGCCCACCAGAAAGACCAGAGTTGTTACAACCTGGTACACTACCAGGTTGAATTTTCAGGTATTGGCTACTTGGACCATGATGATCACCATTTACACCCACTCTGGAAGGCTCTGAGCTTGACCTCATTTCTATAGCCCTTGGTGGTGACTGGCCAGATTCAGTCTCTATTACTTGCAGTGACAGCTTACGGCTTTCATTCTTGTTCTTCCACTGGGAAAGCAGCTGTTTGGAGCGGGCAGAGTCCATAGATGCATGAATTGTTGCATTTCGTCTTGCTGGATCTTCCAAGGATGGTGTGTTGACTCTTGGCAAAGTGTTGCTGAAAGTTACCATGTTTTCCTTTCCCATTGGGCTTCGTGGTGTTATGATTTCTACATCAGCATTTGCTCTCTTGATGTTAGTCAGAGAACCTGAATCTCTGTGGTTTCTATTCAGGATACTTTCTGAACGGTGAGAGACAATGCCATCAGTGCTGCTACCATTTTTACCTGGCAGGATTCTATTGGCATCTTGACTGAGGTCTGTCAAGGACCTTAGAGGTTCTCTGTGAAAATTTGGGTGAAACACATTCTCCTCACTCGGCAAGAAGTTCCCCACAGCGTACAGCCCCTGATATTTGAACAGAATCATTAACAAGTAGTTATGAAAAAGAGAGAGATTTTTAGGTATCTTAATTACATTCTTCTGCCTTAAATATTGAGTGATAGAATTAGATCACTTTAACTGAGAGTTCCTTCCGATCTTTATATTCTAAATTCTCTATGTATTCTCTGGTAGGTAGAGGTCTTAGTAGGATAACAAGGGAACATATTTCTTGGCTATAAACATTTAAGGAAAATATTTAGTCTCCTTTAGTGCTCTTCATTTTATAAAACAACAGATACTGCTGAAGAAAGAATATTTTGTTATGAAAATATGAAAATAAATATTTGTAGTCTACTGCGTGAAGCTATTTAACATCTACAATACTGTCTGCTCTGATTTAATGAATCTTGTTCCAGCTCAAGTTGTGCTGTGATTGTGCCCTTTTCACTGCATAATAACCATGTAATACAATATCTACATGATAGCACAATTTATCAGCTTTAAATCAAATGCTATCCAAGCTATGCATATCTGTTACAAGATTTAATTATACAGCATTTTCTTATTCAATATATTTATTGTAAAATGCTGTCAGTTTAAAGATTCCACTGAGAAACTGTTCTATGAAAGGCTCAAATGTCTGACTCATTTAGGTTACTTGATCTGTATATCTTTTTAAGGTTTCACAATATTTCACCTGTCTTTCCTCTTATTGATGTTTAGTTTTAAGTGCAGATTTACTGACCACTGGGTTTGCAAGACAATGTGCCTTTTAGATGTGTGTTGTTTTCCCCATGTAGTATTGCATGACCTAACAAAGACCATACTTGTTTGTAGATTTCAAACATGGGAACAACAACTGCATTTATGAGAGGCTGCAACAGCTTAATAATTTGAAATTATATACTCAACAGAGTGCCTTTCTGCTCACAGCAGAATCATAGGATCTGACTCAGTAGCTTGTGGAGTTTTTATTATCTTCTCTGGTTGCTGTCATTCTTGCCACTGTGAAATTATTATTATTTTTTTTCCCTGGTCACCTTTGTAGGCGACCTACGTGTGCCTTAGATTATTACACAGAAAAAAAGGGGACAGATTATGAACTTATTATACTAAAATTCATTGTTGACTTCCTTGGGGGCCAAAAGCTGTCCCAGTGGTTGTTATAACTATCTTATTTGCTATTACATTGTCAGCAGAAGTTCCTTATTGCTCACAGGAACGTGGATTGACACAGTCATGTTGGAGATGTATTCCAAGCAGCAAGTAGAAGCATCCAACATTTCCTGCAGTCAGATACAAACAGGCCTATCCTACATGCATCCCTACAGCACTGTTCTGAAGTGCTCCATCTGTTTCAGTATTGTACAGATGAAGTGCATAGCAGTAACCTGGCTTAGATATCCTATTTCCCTTGCAAAACTTCCCCAAATGCTCTAAAGAACCACAAGGGGTTAATATTGTCTTTGATTTCCTGCAGGTTTAGTAGTTCACTCAGTGGAGTTGCTGTGCAATAAACCATTTTTTTAGGCACTGTGGCAGCAAGTACTGGTTAATCCATTATTTTCCATGTATTATGCTTTGAAGTGTGGAGTAGAAAATATGTGTACCTTAAATAAAGTGCATCATGTTAGAGCTGTTTCTGCGTATAGTACTTGACTATTATATACCACTTTGTGTGTTCTCATGGCACTTTGAATTGAAATATATATTTGCTTTTCCCTGTTTCTTCTTATAAGTGATTACCCTCAACACCATCATCTTCAGCACATTTGGATTATATTCTTAATTATGGTACATTACCATTACAAAATATTTTCATTTAAAATACCAATACTCTTACTGTGTACATATGTTTTATTTCCTAAAACATAACGACATCTATGCTGTATTTACCAAATAGAGAGCAATTCCTCCTCCTATAAGAAAGCCACAGTAAACATCAACTGGATGATTCTTATATTGAGTGATTCGAGTCAGACCACATATAATTCCACAGATGATAAAAGCAAAGACCAAAAGTGGCTTCAGAAGTTTTGAGGAGTCTGTTAATGTAGAATTGAAGTACATCTTAAAAAAGAAAGAGATGAAGAAGCAGTTAGAGAAACTGAAATTTACCTCAGAAGATATATGAATTTCTCACGTTAAATGTTTCTTGGACACTTAAATTGCTGTTACACTGATGTTGAAGATAATCAGTTTAATTTTGTTTAGCAGCCTTGTTAAAATCTACTCAGTTACCGTAGGAAGATCTGAAATCACAAGGAATGGATTTCTGGAAGTAGAGGCAATGTTGCTTATTGATGTCAATTAGGATAAAGATTTTATGCCTAAATAATGTTCACGCTCAGAACCTAAATGTAAACATGACTAAGCAGTCCCTGTGTCAGAAATATAGAAGCCAGATGCTTTAGAGAACCATTTCTCAACTGGGGGTGAAGATGGGAGGTAAAGGGAGGTAAAAAATATTTCAAATTTTCACTCTTTCCCAAGCTGAAAAAGTACTGGCAAGTTCCCAGTACTTGTGCAATTCTATTACTTAGTTTGATTAGTGAGTTGCTGTTGTTTTTCCCACCCCTCTCTGGTTTTATAGCATAAAGGATGGAAAATTCTTTTTAAATTTAAAATAAATGATCACTCGTACATATATGGGCCCCCGTATTGAAGAAATGTCAGTGGTCAGATGTGGGAAATCAGCTATAATCACTGAAGTATGTCCTAATATTTCCTGCTAATTACTGTTTTTATTCCCTTGCTTTGCAGTAGCATCTTTGAGGCCTCAGAGGGTGGTTGTGCCAGTTCATCAATGATGCAATTCTATGGAGGTCAAATGAAACTAGATCACATAAAATGTTTGTGCCTTAATGCCTGGAGTTTAAAAACAATGAGTCAAGTGAAGAGAGCAGCAAAGGAAAGATAAAACATATAAAGGCTGATTTGAATGGTAAGTTAAAACCGTCACCTTATAAGATAAATAAGCATTGCATTTTATATGTGAATAACATGAGGCATTAAATACTTCAATATTACAATGGATAATGTTACTTCTTAACAAAGAGTGTGAAGCAGTCGCATCTTTTCTGTATTCTTTATAGAACTGCTTTTATTTTAGCTGCTGATAATTTCATTTTGCTTTTAAATTGACAGGATAAAAACTCATATCTGTTCAGAATGTCCAGGCAATACATCACTGTAATATGTGCAGCAAATTACATTCTGACTTTTGTCTTATTTAAATGAAAATGAATAGAGTTGATTACTCACCGAAATGTACACTGCTGCAAAGGCTGCCAGGGTGGCATGTTGAGATGGGAATGACTTTCTGCCAAGGAAGGACACTCAAATTATGCTTCTAAGGTCAAATATACTGTGCTAGTGTTCACTTGAAAAAATACACTGGATAGTACAGTAATTTCAGCTGACACTTCCTAAGCAATATATGATCAATCATTAATATTTAGTTTCAAGATTTCTTTTCTATAATCTAGAAAAAGAACTGATGTTAATATTTAGCATGGAATTATTTTTGTGTGCTAAGCATGGTAGGTATACTATGAGTGTGAATGAGCTCTAGACTGGATGCTTGATTTTAAGAGGGACATTTCTCTAAATTTGTTTCTATAGATAGATTTCCATAATAACTCTTATGCATGTTTCTAATTATACAAAATATTTAATGAGTGAACCTGGTTCTTACGATTACTCCTACTGGTTTCACTTGGATCTTTTGATGTATGAACTTGTCAGCTATGAATGCAACTTGGATAGTCAGTCCCTAACCTTCATCTTTATTTGCTGTGTTTTCAGTCTCTTTTTTT